CGGAGTGGCTGTGGGTTAATGGCTCCTCTTTATCTGGGGCGTTGTCATCCTTGGTGCTGGATGGGGTGGCACTACCCCAGACAGATCCAGTGCGTAATCTGGGGGTCCTTCTAGACTCATGGCTCCTGCTTTAAGAGCAGGTGGCAGCCGTGGCAAGGAGGGCCTTTGCACAACTTTGGGGTGTGCATCCGTTACGCCCTTTCCTGGATTTGGATCCCCTTCGAACAGTCACTCATGCCCTTGCTATCTCCCAGATAGACTACTGCAATGCGCTCTACATGGGGCTACCCTTGAAGAGTATCTGGAAGCTGCAGCTGGTCCAGAATGCAGCCATGTGAGCTATTTTGGGGGCCCGAAGAAGGACCCATATAACACTACTGCTTCGTGAGCTGCATTGGGTACCGGCTTGCCTCCAGGTCCAATTCAAGGTGTTGGTTATCACCTTTAAAGCCCTACGTGGCATGGGGCCAGGTTACCTGAGGGACTGTCTCTCCCCCACAAGTTCATCCTGTCCCATCCGATCACAGAGAGGGCATGCTCCGGACCCCCTCGGCAAAAGAACTCCGACTAGCAGGGTCCAGAAGATGGGCCTTCTCTGCTGTAGCCCCCGCCCTTTGGAACATCTTGCCCCTGGAGGTGAGATTGGCCCCCTCACTCCCGGCCTTTCGGAGGGATCTGAAGACCTGGCTCTGCCATCTGGCCTGGGGCGAGGAGGGAATGATCAGGTGTGGGGTTGGCTAGTCCCTTAGTGGCCTGGTGTTGCTGCTTTGAACCATCGGCCTCCTGGATTTTTTCCCTTTTATTTTTGTGAATGTGTATTGTTATAGGTTTTAATTGTATATTTATTTATTATTTTAACATGTTGTGAGCCGCCCAGAGTCCCCCACTGGGGGGGATGGGCGGGGGACAAATTTAATAAGCAAACAAACAAACAAACAAATTAATTAATTAATTAATTTAAAAAACAAAGAAATTAGGCCAATGGCATCCTCTATAACCCTCAGGCTGAAAAAGGATGCTCCCTCACTTACATCATTCCAGAGACCAGAAATATCATTGTGATGAGTTCATAATCTATCTGGCCACTAAAAGATTGTCACTTTATTACTGACCCACAATTACTTTGGCTGGGGGGGGGGGGACATAGATCTCCAGCTCAACAGCATAGGCACGGACATGTGCCACTAATATCATAGTATGCTTCTTTGCCTGAGATACGTCCTGAGATTATTTATTAGTTGGACTGGCAAAGACCCATTTATACTTCAGTAAGAATCCCCCTTATTTTGGAAATCGACTGACCACCACACATGTTTAATATGCTTCTAGCTTTCACCCCCATAGTCCTTGCCTAATACCAGACCCTGCAATAGAACTACATCTTTTGGGGTGCAGCAAGCAGATACTCACAGCTGAAGGATTTAAATAATGTATTTCTGAAATTAAGATGCCTATCAGCTGAATAGCTAAAATAGCACACAGTGATTGACTAGTCAAAAGTGTTCATCAGGAGTGAACAAGAAGATTAACCCAGAAAAAGCAACAGGACAGGAGTTGTTGCCTTACTGATGGTTCTGACAATACCCAGCCACTAGCTGGGTCAAAAGTCACCACTTGTGAACCCAGCATCCTGACCGACCTCCCCGCTTCAGAAAGGGCCAATATTCCATCAACCTTTGTACCAGGAGAGCCCTCACAAGGCTGCAGGACACTGCTGGCCCTTTCCCCCAACAGCACAAAGCATGACTTGGCCGCTGTGGGTCTGAAAGAGGTCTCCTCAGTGGCCTGGCCTTGGCTGGAAGCTGTAGAATGGGAACCTTGTCTTTCGAGCGAAACAGGTCAGTTGAGTTGGTGTAGACTGGGTGGAATTATTTTAACCCTGTCCATGACTGGCTCCATTCTAAGCCATACTGAGCCCTGTTGGGGTTGGTAGACTGTATCAAGTATGCCCTTTGGGGGATTCTGACATTAAAATACAGGTAGCCCTTGCTTAACAACAGTAATTGGGACTGGCAACTCTGTCACTAAGCAATGCAGTCGTAAAGCATGATGTCTCATGACTGCACTGACATATGATGGCAGTTCCAGTTGCTGTCGTTAAGTGAATCCCAGATGGTCGTTAGACACGACATCATGTGATTGCTATTTGCAACCTCCTGCCAGCTTCCCCACTGACTTTGCTTGTCAGAAGCCAGCGAAGAAGGTTGCAAATGGTGATCACATGACTGCGGGATGCTGTGACCATCATAATTGCAAGCTGGTTGTCAAGTGCCTGAATCCCAATCACATGACTATATGGATGTTGTGACAGCCGCAACTAGAATGCCCCGTTGTAAGTGTTCTCATTCAGCGCCATTGTAACTTCAAATGGTCACTGAACAAGTGGTCACTGAATGAGGACTACCTGTACAGTATTACTGTGTGGGTTTTGGTTTGGTTTTTTTTTATTTTTTTACTCTTCTAGGGAGGGTTGCCCTCTTTTTTTCCCTAAGTACTTAAATATAGTTTTCTTCTTCTTTCATATAATAGGTTGTCTTTCTTTTTAAAGAATATAGTTATATAGTTAGATTGTTATTTAGTATGTATATAATATTACAAGTTAATAATTAAAGTTTTTAAATGTTTTTCCCTAATGGTTTCTATTTATTTATTTATGTTTCAAATTTGTCACCACCCATCTCACTACCGGGTGACTCTGGGTGGTTTACAGTAAAAACAGAAAAACCATTAATTAAAATAAATAAATATTAATTAATTAATTAGTTAAAATATGCTAAAAATAAACTTCCTATATTTTATTAGTTTCCTGATCTTGTTTTGGTGGTTGTTTATGGGGAGGACAATTTCCTGTGACAAAACATACCCTTGTCTATCTGGACGGACCTCCCTCCCCCTTTACCCCCTCCCCCTTCCTTTGCCGCTGGCTGGTCAGATCAATAGTTCTGGATTAAAAGAAAAAAACTCCAGCTGACTGATCTAATCTGTACAAGCCAGATGTCTAGTCTTTCTTACAGTCCGAGTCAAAATGACCGTAAAGAGGTCCAGGGAGAGGATAGGAGACTGATAGTCCCCTGTTAATGCGAAGTCCCACCTGGCTGACCTTCCCTACAGAAGCCAGATGTCCGGTCTCTCTTGCAGCCAGAGACAGAAAGTGGGTGGGGGAGAGACGTGCTATCAGCGGATCCCTGCTCCTGACCCTGTTATTGCCAGCCTCTTTACAGAACACTTAGCTGTCCTAGAGACCCCACTTTAGCAACTCAGCGGGTAAGGACTTTGGCTCCGGATGGGAGAGTGGATGGGAGAGCGGTGGCATCATGAGGATAGGTCCCTCAAAACAGTTAGAAAAGATGTTTGTGAGATTGAGCCATTCTCAGCTAGTCATTCAGGCAAGAAAGCTTCGGGTTAACCTCTAATAACTGTTTTGCGAATAGCCGCTGAACGTAAGATAATTAGAACAATTTGCACTTCCTGCTTTTTAATTCCATGTGACTTCCTTCTGCTTGCAATGCTAGGGCATCTGATGAAGGCCCCTACAGGCTGCCAAAACTGCTGGTTAATGAGTCTGAGAGTCTCTCAAGGGGGGGCCAAGACTCTTTGATGTCTTAATGACATACTGTAATTGCACACTGTAAGAAGAGGAGTCGTTTGCTTGTTTGTCTGTTTTAAAACTCTTAGATGACTCCATTGGGTTCTGTGTTATTGGGAAGGGAGTGAAATTTTCATTACCCGCTTTCTGTACCTTGTATACAGTTCATCCCCTTTCTGCAACAGGTCAGCCTCCCGCAGGCTTCCGGGACATCCTCCTCAGCGAGGGCCCTTCGGGCTTTGCCAAGGCTATTCGCCAGCACCAGGGTCTGCTTTTGATGGACACCACCTTCCGAGATGCTCACCAGTCGCTGCTGGCCACTCGTGTTCGCACCCATGACCTGAAGAAGATCGCCCCCTTCGTAGCCCAGAACTTCAGTAGGCTCTTTAGCATCGAGAACTGGGGAGGTGAGAGAGCAGTTTGGATCTTCAAGGGCTCCCAATAAATCTGGGAGCTACTACGAGGCTTGCGATGAAGTTTTTGGCTGCCAGTTTGATGGCTGGCTGAGGTGGGACTGTCTGTGTGAGTTCTTAGTTGGACTTTTGCAACCAAGGGCTCAAGATGAAGGCCAGCAACTCCAGTCTGAAATAAATGAACGGATTTAAATAATAATCACCACCTATAAATAATAAAACTATGAACTTGAAGGAAGATATAGCAACCTTAGTAAAGTATTACGAATGGTCAAAAACAGCAAATTAGAACAGTAAATAAAGCAACAGAGTTACCCGAAGGGCTTAAGAATGGCATAAAAGGGATATTTTAGTGTCAAGCCGAGGATTTGGCTTCCTGTTATCTTGTCACAGCCTTCTGACAGCACTACATAAACATTACAGCTACCAAGCCAAGTCAGCGGAATAAAGGACCTCATTTTCTCTGATCAAAGGCTGGGAGGGGGACAGAGGACAGCAACAGCAGCAGAAAAAATAGGCAGTAATAAAGGTGGTAATAATGACTCCCTGATTGGCCAGTCAGGCAGCAGTAGACACGGGTTAAACACGGCAACCGATTGTGTGTGTGGAGTGGGGGGGAGGGAAGTTCTGTGGTGCCAGACCTACCAGTGCGTTCTATAATGGAGAGGCATCCAGCCGGTCCCTAACCCTGAGCTACCTCTATTCTCTACTATTGGAACGGCATATTGATGGTACTTATTTCCGTGCCAAGGGACGACCTCGCCCAGCAACTTCATGTAGAACTTAAGTAGGAATGGGGAGAGTGTAGAGCACTGACAAATTCTGCAAAGTGGGGCTAGACCTCTTGCCTGCTACCAACACCAACTGGAACTGACTTTGGAGGAAGGAGAACCACCACAACATGTCGCCCCCACTCCTAGCCCCTGGAGGGATACAGCCAGGAAGATATCATGATAGATGGTATCAAACACCACTGAGAGATCAACAGGTGCTAAGATAGATGTACTCCCACCCCCCCATCTTAGTCCCTCCAGAGATCATCAACAAATGCAATCGATGCCATCCTCAGTACCATACCCCGGTCTAGAGCCCAACTGAAAAGGGTGCAGATAATCCAGTTCCTTGGGGCTCTCTGAAGCTGCATCTCAACCATCTTCTCAACAACCTTCCCTAAAATAGGAAGCTTGGAGACAGGATAAAAATTGTTCTAGTGATGGTTTCTTGAGGAGGGCATGAGCAGCACCCATCCCTCAAGGATACATTCACCACTAGGTGGATCCAACCACACATCATCTTTGGGGAGTTCTTGTCCATTTAGGAGGAACATGGATCTAACACACAGGTGACCCCACTTACAATTCCAAGGATCCTGTCCAGCTCCTCGGGGCCAACAGGTTCAAGCTCTTCCCAGATGACCAAGCCAGGCAGCTCCATGGGACGTGCATAGTCAGAGTTCAACTCAGAGCAGATCTGTTCTGAGCAACTTTATCCAACAGATGGCCTGAATAGTCTTTGCAACAGCCCTGCAGATATTCCTCTGGCCCCTTTGTCCAGGACAGACCAAGTCACCTTGAACAAGCTGCCGGCCCAGCTATTTGCAGATGCAAATGTTTAATTGTTTTGTTGCACTTAACGCAGCAAAATTCCTATTTTTATAATGACCCCCACATGTGATCCCTTCATCCTTATTAAACATCTTCACTTCTTTGCATATTCATCAACTCTACGTCACAAGCTCAGATTATCTTCATTCAAATCCGTTGCAACTTTCCAGATGAATCTTTCTGATTCTTTTCATAGATCAGTGATATCTGTAGGACTTGAGGAGAGATTGTTTTGGAATGGGTGGGTTGTGAATCTGCCTACTGTGTTGACCCTTCAATTTAGCTACAAATTAGATCCCCAGGCATGAGGGTCTCTGGCACATAGAACTGGTGGAATAAAGGGTTTAGGCAGGGCTTTTGCTACGAGGACAGTGTGAGGGAGTTGAACTTGGCTCTGTGGCTCACACTGAGGCCAGAGCTGAGCCCCTTCACCAAGGACTAGTCTTCAGGCTTGCTGCTGTGCCAGTCGAGAGCCATTTGAGTGTTGAAGTTGCTGTAAAAGAAAACACACTCTGCATTCTTTTATGTAGTATTCTTTCTGATAATCAAGGGAACTGGGGTGGTGGTTCCAACGACAGGATTCCAAGTTTGCTTAGGCGATCTTGTCCCCAAGATCTTGCTGATGCTCAGCTCCCTTTCTCTCTTCTTGCCACTCATCTCCAGGTGCCACCTTTGATGTTGCCATGCGCTTCCTGTACGAGTGCCCCTGGCGCCGGCTGCAGGAGCTGCGCGAGCTTATCCCCAACATCCCATTCCAAATGCTGCTGAGAGGGGCCAATGCAGTGGGCTACACCAACTACCCGGACAATTCTGTCTTCAGGTACAGACTGTGCAGCTTGATGTAGGCCTTGGTGGGAGGCAGGGAATACACCATTTGACTTCCAGCTTTTTGTCTTCCCAGACCCCGTCCTTCCTCTCTGAGATTTCTACACTGGCTTCCAGCTTTATTTTCGCAGTTATAAAGGCAATACATCTAATTTTTTCTCAAAAAGCTAAGCTAGTTTGCAAGCTGAATTCTTGGGGTTTTTTGGTTGCTTTTGTTCCCTGCCTTTCTGCCAAAATCCTGGGCTTGGCTGGCATCCTAACGTACACAGAGCTCCACACCTTTCATTTAGAAACTTTTGTTTTTGCTTCTTTAAATCCTTTACATTCCTTTGATTCTGATTCTCCTGGAAGTCCAGTTACCTTTATTGTACTTGGAGGAAAAGTCCAACCCCAGCTTTCCAAATTAATCTGACGTAATTGTGAGACTCCAGTCGTTCTGGAAGAAGGAGGAGACGCACAACCTCCTTCTTCCACGATAGGCCGTGAAGCAGTTCCCAGGCCTGGAGGAGAGACCTTTTGGAATTGCCTCAGCACCTTCTGTACTTTACCATCGCAGGTTCTGCCAGATGGCCAAAGAGAACGGGATGGACATCTTCCGCGTCTTTGACTCCCTCAACTACCTTCCTAACATGCTGCTGGGGATGGAGGCAGCCGGGCAGGCTGGAGGTGTGGTGGAGGCTGCCATCTCCTACACAGGAGACGTGGCCGACCCCAGCCGGACCAAGTACACCTTGGATTACTACATTAGCCTTGCTGAGGAGCTGGTCAAAGCCGGGACTCACATCTTGGCCATCAAGGTAGGAAGGGTGGGGAATTCTTTGTCTGCATGCTTTCATTGCGCCCTAGCATAGGGTGGGGATCCGTTACCAATCTTCCGCACGGCAGTACGGGAGGTTTACCTGTGACCTGGAGCTGGCAGTGGAGCTGAAAAGAAAAAGTCAGAGGGAGCCGGTTATCCTTGGTCTCCTGGCTCGGCTCCAGAAGGGAGTCAGATTGCCCTCCTCCCTTTGTCCTGAAAGCGGGGTTGAGTATCCCTCGGCTTCAGGGGATGTGGGCAGTGCATAAGCAAGGGCTCAACTCCATCACATCTGTAGCTTCTGCCACCATTTTCTTTTCCTCCTCATCTGCTTGTGCCTCGATTGCTGCACCCAGAACGCCCACCTTTGGCTCCTTTTTCTTGCAGGACATGGCTGGGGTCTTGAAGCCGCAGGCTTCCTCCATGCTTGTGGGGGCGCTGCGCAAGCACTTCCCCAACGTCCCACTCCACATTCACACCCATGACACTTCGGGTGCTGGCGTGGCTTCCATGCTGGCTTGTGCTGCTGCTGGGGCTGACATTGTGGATGTCGCGGTGGACGCCATGTCTGGGATGACTTCCCAACCAAGCATGGGAGCAATGGTGGCTTGTACCCGTGGAACAGAGCATGATACAGGTCTGAAACTGAAGGGGAAGAAACATTAGAGAAAGGGATGTTCATCAGCCTCTTTCTGCCCCGTAACAGGACTGAAGGAAAGTGAGTTGGGGGCTGGTGGGCTCCAGGTTGGCAGCTACTTCTGCTCTACCTGCAGCCCAGGCTGGTCTGGAGGTTGCAGGAGGAGAATCTATGTCATGCCCCCACGCTGCTTTAAGCAATTATAAAGTCATAATTCTACAAAGGTTACAGTGATTTAAAAGAAGACTTACATATTTAAGGAATTGGGGCGAGTCAGTCCAAGTGAACCCACAGCAGCTTACAACCACCTTTAAAATCAGAATGAAACTGCATCGTAAAAGGATCATAAGACCGCACAAAAACAGAAGCAGAAAGAAAAGGAGGGGGAAAAAGCTTTTTAGGGAGTGAAACAATCAGCACCTCTCCAGGGCTAGTGAGATAAGTGTTGCCCCTTTTCCTTTAAAGGCCCGGTGGCATCGTCGAGAAGCCCCTGCCACAGCCCAGCCACGTGCCCCTTCCAGCCTGCTCTGCCCTCGGCTACCATCTCAGTCGTCCCCAGCCAGTCCTTGTAGCTTGAGGAGAAAAACCGTGTAGGGAGTGAAAAAGAAACTACGGGGAGGCAATTGGCTTCATATCGAGCAATATTGTTAGTAATTGTATCAAGGATTGATAGTGGCAAAATTCTCCCAGCTTTTTCTTCATCAGCACCGATGTTGGGGTTCTTATTGCAGTGTTGCCGTACCTTCTGCTGAAAAAAACGATGCGTTCTTTTTTCTTACCTTAATAGAAGGAACTTACTGTATTTTGCATTGTATTTTGGGGGGATTTCGTCAGAAATTTATGCGATCTATTTTGTCCCTTGAAATAACACAGATCAAACGTGTGGGAAAGGTGTATTTTGGGGGTGGGGGTGGTCAGGTTTTTGCCCCTTTTGCACTCCTATGGAAAAGACCTTGGAATAGTAGTAAACTGCAGACTGGAGAGCAATGAGCAGCATAATGTGTCTGCAGAAAAAGGCAAATGAATCTTAGACTTCATCAGCAGAAGTATAATGTTCAGTTCATCAGCAGTAATTGTTTCCCTTTATTCTATTTTGGTCAGACCCCACCCTGAGGAATGTGTCCGCTTCTGGGAAGCCCATCTTAAGAGTCAGAGGCCCTGGAGCAGGTTCAGAGAAGGGCAACAAAGATAATAGAGATTGAAGGAGCTGCATGTTTAGCCTTGAGGAAAGACGATTAAGGAGGACATAGCAGCATTCTTCAAATATCAAAGGGTGCCGCGTAGAAGATGGTCAACAACTGTCCTCTCTTCAGCGTGCAGGCCATGGAATAATGGATTTAAGTTGCAGGAAGGCAGATTCCCATTGCATGTTAGACAGAACTTCTGAAAAGTAAGAGCAGTTGGAGAAGGGAAGCAGCAAACTGGGTGGGTCCCGGTTCTTGGACATGCATAAAGGGGAAGCTAGAGAGCGCTTCATCCTGGATGCTTTGGTTTCAATTCCTGCCCTGAGCAAGGGGTGGACTCCATGGCCTCCAAGACCCCTTCTGCCTCTGGGCTGCTCTCTGCCATCAGGTTGATGGGAAGGGCTCTCTCCCCGCCCCAGGCATCCAGATGGAGAAGGTCTTTGACTACAGCGAATACTGGGAGGTGGCTCGGGGTCTGTACGCCGCCTTTGACTGCACGGCCACCATGAAGTCGGGCAACGCGGACGTCTATGAGAACGAGATCCCCGGCGGTCAGTACACCAACCTGCACTTTCAGGCCCACAGCATGGGGCTGGGCCACAAGTTCAAAGAGGTGAAGAAAGCCTACGTGGAAGCCAACAAGCTGCTTGGCGACCTCATCAAGGTTAGTTTGCCGGCCCCAGTCCTGCGGCAGTCACGCAGGTCTAAATTACCGGCCGTGAGTCTCATGGCCCACAAAATATTTTCTTAAATTGTTGAAGTTATAGTTACAGATAGGTATTCAAACCAGTACAGTCTGCTTTGTTTGGGAAGGGGCATTTTCCAGAATATTTGGAAGTGAAGCTTACCCAGAAACCTTTTGCTAGCTTTTTTCTTTTCCTTCCAGATAACTAAACCTGAGCATTGCATAGTGAGCGGGGGAGAGGGCCAAATTGTTTTGTTAATACCATGTTCAGCAAGCTGCATCGTTGGTTGAAATTTGCCTAGGGCTCCAGGCCTCCTTATTGGTGGCCATTCCCTATTTTAAAGGTCCATAAAGGCCACAGGGAGCTCAGACAGATTTTCTGCGCCGTCCCTTGGGATGGTGACTTTCCTGGCCAAAGCAGTCTATCATGTAGAACCAAAGCTTGTGGGAGTCAGCATCTGATTCTTCTGAGCAGACAGCTTGTCCCAAGAAAAGGCAGTGCCTGCTAAGAACGTTGGATTCCCCACCTCCAGCTTGGCCCTTCCCAAGATGGCAGCATCCTGTCCCCGAAGGATCACTTTTCCTTGTTCTGGCTTTGTGCCTGATGGGAGTTGGAGCTGGAGGCTCTGGGCTCCTTCTAGGGAACTGGGTTGGGGAGAGGAGCCTGAGGCTGGGCTGGGCTGGGCGGAGCTTCTGCCCAAGTGGGCTTGTGTGCCTCTACCGTGACTCCGCTCCTCCTCGGCTGTTGCTCAGGGAGGCTCCTCTTTGCTCCCCCTGTGCAGGTGACGCCCTCTTCGAAGATTGTGGGCGACCTCGCTCAGTTCATGGTCCAGAACAACCTGACGCGGGAAGATGTTGATGCTCAGGCAGACGAGCTCTCCTTTCCCCTCTCCGTGGTGGAGTTCCTGCAAGGCTACATTGGCATCCCCTATGGGGGCTTTCCAGAACCCCTCCGCTCCAAGGTACGAAGAAGGACCCCCCTTGCCCATAGAAATTGTGGGGAGAGTGGAAGGGAGGTAAACCCACAGCCCTCTTGTCTTAGTTTCACACAGAGGATTTATTATTAGGGTTCTGTTTGCTGCATTTGGGGGTTACCTCCACATCAGAGACTTGGAGCACAGTACTCTGCTATTTGCCAACTATTCTCAGAGAGAAATACTGCCAAAGGGTATTCTGTCATGGTTAAACCTTAGGAAAACCAAGGCTTTCAAACACCCTCTGTCCCTCCCGCCACCTTGATTCCTGCTTTGGGGGACTTGAATAGGAGGACAGATGAGTCAGATTTATCCATGAAGAAAGAGGAAGGGATCCCGACTTCCCACTTGGTAGCTCCAGTTTCCCATTCCCTGGATAGGGCCACTTGTGGGGCTGAGTTCTTTGACTTTTCCTAGGTGCTGAAAGATCTGCCCCGCATGGAGGGCCGCCCCGGGGCCTCTCTGCCTCCCCTGGATTTTACACAGCTGGAGCAGGAATTGTGCGAAAAGCATGAAGAGATTACGCCAGAAGATGTCCTCTCTGCCGCCATGTATCCCAAGGTCTTCAATGATTTCAAGGACTTCACAGCCACTTTTGGACCTGTCGAATGTCTCAATACCCGCCTCTTCCTGGAGGGACCCAAGATTGCAGAGGAGTTTGAGGTGAGGTCAGGAGCATGGGAGGCATTCAGATAGCCCTTGCGCCAAAAGACAAGACTGAAGTTTGATAGAAATGCCAGGAGTTCAACCAAGGATGAGCGAAGGAGCTCTCATGCGAGCTGGCAATGAATGGGGGACAAGAATCAGTTTGGGGTTATTCTGCAATTGAAGGAGCACCAGACAGATCTGCTTGACATTTTATTTATTTATTTATTTGTTCGTTCGTTGGTTCGTTCATTCATTCAGTCATTGAATGTATATAGCCACCCATCTCACTATATGTGACTCCTGGTTGCTTGTCTGCATGTCTCACATGCCTTAGATCCAGGTTTGGCCTCTTGGCAGGGATGCTTCGTAGGGATGGGAGAAGCCAAAAGTTGCTCCTGGTTGTGCACTACTCATAGTCCTGTGGTTCCTCCATCCTTATTTTTTTCTTCACTTGCACTCGGTAACTAATGTGACCCATTTCTTTTCTGTATACTTTTTAAAAAAATAAGTAAGATTGAAACCTCTTTACTGATAGGATTATAGAAACAGATAATAACCAACATCCCTTAAAACAGCATGGGGAGAACTGGGAGGAAATTCATTTTTCAAAGCTCTCTAATATCACAGTTGAGGTTAAAATAGAAATAAATAAAAATAACTGGTGAGATTATAGCAGGAGGTCATAGCTCAATGACCCAGAAGCTATAGTAGAGGCAGACGGACTTAGGGACTCTGACAGCCTCTTCCATTTCACAAATTGCAAATAGCACAAAGTGGGAAAGAAATGGAAATTTTGCAGAACTCCTGGCTATAATGGAAAATGGCATTAAAACCACCAGACAGATCTAATGATCTGAGGGCTAGCAGCCCCAAACTTGCCATTTAGTCTTCCCATTTGTTAATCCAGGAGCACAGCAGAGGACGTTTCTGCTTGCACAGTGCTCTGAGCCTTGCACAAGACTTGGTCATCCACAGGCTGTTTTCAAGTAACCCTTGGACCGTAGTGATGCTGCCTTACAGTGCTTGAGTGAGAGCTGCAAAGGAACCATCTGTCACCCTCTTTTCCTTCCCTGATGCCTCACAGGTAGAGCTGGAACGGGGGAAAATCCTGCATATCAAGGCCTTAGCCCTGGGAGACTTAAATCGGACTGGCCAAAGGGAAGTCTTCTTTGAACTGAATGGGCAGCTGCGCTCCATCCTGGTCAAGGACACCAAGGCCATGAAGGTAATGAAAGAGCCTCGAAGTAAGCAAGGAAGAAGAGCACATGGAGATGGGAGAGACAGGGAAGCTACGGCTGGAACCTGACTTCATGGCAGAGTGTAGAGGGGAACTTAATCTAATTAATTCACTCTACGTATGCTTGATTTTGCTTTACAAATCTATCCACCTTCTCCTTTAAAAACTTATGAAATCATAATCCTACTAGTATGAAATACAAATAACCATCACTCACAGATACTGAGTCACTAGGCACTTAAAATATAGTTTTTATTCATAAATGATATTTAGGTTAATTACAAATGCCAATAGCCATAACATGTTCTATTATGACTCTTGTCATCCAATATCGCGTCTTGTTTCCAGCGAGGCCCCTGACTCCACAAGCCACCAAGGAGCTCTCTGGAGGAAACAACCCCTTGGTGCTCTGTGTGGGGTAGGAAGTGATCTAAGGAAGCCATGGGTGCCATCTCTACACTTAACCTTTCCTTTCCTTCCTCCTTGCCAGGAGATGCATTTCCACCCCAAAGCCCTGAAGGACGTCAAAGGCCAAGTGGGGGCTCCCATGCCTGGAAAAGTCATTGACATCAAAGTGCAGGAAGGCGCACTCATTGAGAAGGGACAGCCGCTCTGCGTCTTGAGTGCAATGAAGATGGAAACAGTGGTCAACTCGCCCTTGACAGGCACAGTCAAGAAAATTTATGTCAAGCCAGAGATGAGCTTAGAAGGGGATGATCTGATCCTGGAGATCGATTAGCTCATCTCCCCAGTGACCACAAAAGCCATTGCTTCTTCTGCGGAACCTGTAGGACTGCCAGGAGGGTTACCTGCAAGTTTCACTGCTTTTATCGCTGGACCTCCCTTCCCCTCCCCTCCTCTGCTGAAGTTCCCAAGAGGAGCAGGGGTGGGCTTGAGGAGGGGGGAAAGAAAGAGAATGACCCAGTTGCTTTTCTTCCCCCATGAGGATGGTGACTTAGTCTTGTTTCTCCTTCTGGCAGAGAGAAAAGGAGCCGAGTGAGAAGGGACCTGTTGTCGCCGTGTGCACACAAGCCCCTTTCTCTCTTGCTGCCCTTTTCCTGGAGGCTGTGAACAAGTTTGGTAGAAGAAGGGACAGCTTCTGTCCTGGGCCTGCTTTGTCCTCTGCCCCCAGCTGCCACTTCGCCTGTCTCCTTCCCTGCCTCTCCTTCCTCTGGTCCTCGTGGAGGATAATTTTTGCTTTGATATCAGCTGTCTTTGCGGAAGAGGAGAGGTCCCGCCCCTCCTTCATCCACCTCCTCTCTTCTGTTTCAGTTGCCAAACCGGAGAAGGTTGGTTGTGCCTAAGTTTAAAGCCTGGGCTGCTTCTCTGTGATGTAAAAGCAAGTTAAGCTTAGACTTGAGTGCTGTCTAAAGGCAGTCTGGAGATGGAGGAGCTGTGATCCCTCCTTCCACCACTGGAGGAGGCAGCACAACAAAATCATGATTTTCCTGTTGCCAATTATTGGACCAATAATCTGGGCTGAGCCAGAAGAGCCAGGCCTGAGAATTGTGGATTGATGTAATTATGGGTGGACACACGGGTGAAACAAGGGAAGTGCAAAACTTTTACTTGAAACCCGTGAAAGAAATGAAATGAAATGAAATGAAATGGGTCTGTCTCTTGTATGTGTATTTGTACACATTTCTTAACAGTCATTCGTTCAGCTTCAGCCACCCAGTAATAGGAGGTCTCTTTTATAAACTATATGAAAACAAGCTACAAACAACATAAAAACCAACATGGGAAGAGCTCAGCAGAAAACATAAACTTTAGTAACAGGAATAGTACAAGTAGTCCTTGCTTGATGTACACTGTTTGGCAACCATTCAAAGTTACAATGGTGTACGTACGTACGACCTTCACTGCTGGCTTCTGACAGGCAGAGTCAATGGAGAAGCTGGCAGGAGGTCTCAAACGGCGATCACATGACTGCGGGACACGATTGCGCAGGATTCGCCTAACAGCAGCAATTGAGACTGCCACAACTGCTGTTGTAAGTTGGTGCGGTCAGGTGACATCGCACCTTACGACCACATCACTTAGCAACGGAGCTCCTGGTCCCAATTACTGTCAGTAATTGAGGACTACCTATAATGGCTCTCTATAGCAAATTTTCAACATTCAGCAGCCAAACGGAGAAATACGTGTGATGCCAAATGAGTTAAAGTTAGGGTTAGGGTTATCCTGCAAGTGCCATTCCATGAAGGGAGTGTTCCCTAGACAGAAGCCCCCTTAGGCGGGGAGCTCTAGCAGAGCCTTGGTGATAGGGGAGGCTTGGCCCCCACCCCTCAAGGCAGCAATTCGACTGGGCCCGGAAGTGGATGGGCAGCCAAAGCAGATGTCGGTGTCACACCTAGAGAGTTTATATCGGCAGACAAACAATACAAGCGTGTGTCTGCAGCTGATACACAGAGACCTGGAAGACCCGTGCTTGTGCGGGTTCAGAAAGGGACTGGCGCAGCACGCGTTCAGCCACATATTCCTGCTGGCTGTGCACATATCCCCGCAGAAACCCAAACGGTTTGTGCGGGTTTGCTGGTAAAAGAAGCTGTGAGAAGAGCCCCTTAGTTTCTGATGGAAACGCCCCCACAGGAGAGAGAAGGAAGGGCCACAGGTGCTCAGATGGCATTAAGAGGTAGGGTCTTAATTGACTAAAGGGACTCTGGGAAGAAGAATTGATAGAATTGCGGTAATGGCTGGCAAGTGGAAGGGCCTAGAGAGCTCTGGCTGTTGAAGACCTATGGTTTAATAACGAACAGTGTGCACCGCCGAACCTGGGTTGGACTGGGCAGTGTTTACACCGCTGAAGGCTTGTTAGTGGGGAAATCTGGAGAAGACTGAAGAAGACAGTAGCTTATTCCCAGCTGTTAAGCCCAGGGCTTGGGGTTTTTCCTCTCGACAGATGCCCTTTTCCACTGGGACTAAGGCTGTTGAGAAGACCCAAGCAGCAGCTTTGGCCATCTGAATGTCCACTGAAGACCTGTCCATCTGCAAGGCCAGGACGGATGGCGGGTGGAGGAAGATGAAGGTGGGGCTTGGGCCTTGAGAGACTGAGGACACTACTGTAAGGTGCCCATCAGTAGTCTGAATTTTTTTTTGGTAAAGGAAGTGTTTGTCATTTATTTTTAATATAAGAGATTTACCTAGTCCTCTTTTCTTTGCTGGGGAAGGGTATCTATTTTCTCTTAACTTTCTCCTTAGCCCCCATTCCACCTCCCCTCTGCTGTGATTCTTCAAGCTTCACTGGTTTTCCTGTCCTCTTTGTAGTTGCTAGAAACACAGTCCCATCAACCTCCCCACTTTTCCTCATCCCCTTCTTGAGGGCACCCCCAATTCAACACAGTTTCAATTGAGCCGGCACCGAGTGACTCTTGTCAAGTCATGTTGCTGTGTTGGTAGCAAGAAAAATGGAGAGGCCTGAAAGAAGGCCGATCCTTGTTACAATACCATGCAAGCACAGAAGCTTTGCCCAACAGCTACAGTTCCCAACTACTACTTTAGTGAGGATAGATCACGAAAAAGCAGTAATTGACAGCACAGTGACGGTGAGCCATGGATGGATTTCTCACTGAATGTGGTGGGAACAGAGGAAGGGCATGAAGCTTAGAAATGTTTGACTGCTGGGGCGGGGAGGGAAATTTTCCCCATCATGCACTCCATTTTCCCTGTCAAACGCAACATCCTTGGTAATACATTAATGTTCAGGTCCATACTCTTTTCAGCATCATACAAAGTGCAAACTCTTCAGGTTCTCAGGCAACATATACACATCCCCGACCCAAAGACCTTACTGTCAAAGTAGACACAAATACATTAAACAAACAAGTGGGCATTAAACATTCTTATTCCTGCTCAGTGTTGAACCACTTCCTAAGTATTTCCTTGATTCTTACTCATGCTTTGCTTCCATCCTATACCACTCCTATCACATTCTGCAACCAACGTTGCAGAAAACATTCCATCATATAGGCCTACTCACTTTATCATACACGTTTTTGAAATCAACATTTCTCAGTTACAGAGCAAAACTCTGGTTTCCATATCCTGCCTGGTGTTGTAAAGCCACCCTGCAGTGAAGGCACAATCATGAACAGTTCCTACAAGAAGGAAAGATTATAGGAGAAACCTAAAGAAGCCAACATGGATGCGTATAATAAAGGGAAAGGGACTTTCACCAGAAATGGAAGGAGGGCACATAACCCAAGAATCTCTAGAAACTCTAGGACCTGCATCAGGAAGGCTACAGATCAAAATGAGCCGAGTCTTGCAGGAAACATCAAAAACAACAAAAGAGGCTTTTTGGGGTTCATTAGAAGAAAAAAGGGGAGCCAAAGAGGTGGTAGATCTGTTGCAAGGAGAAAGTGCTAAGAATATAGAACCCCTATTTTACATCTATGTTTGCATCATCATCACCACGCCATCCTATGCCACCGGGGAAGGAGGGAGCAGCAGCTCAGGACAGATGAGGTAAGAGAGCTAATTTAAAGAAATTCAGGTCTCCGGGGCCCGATGAGTTATGCCCCAGGGTCCTGAAGGAACTAGCAGAGATGACCATAGATGATGATCTTTGGATCATTTTGGATGAAGGAGTTGAGAGACATGGATCACATCTGCAGATGACACAAAGTGGAAGAGGTGGCTAATATTTAAGAGAATATTAGAGAAAAGATTCAAAAATATCTAGGCATGCTTGAGCAGTGGGCTGAAATAGAATAGCATCTAACAGGAAGAAATGTAAAGTTCTACATTTAGGTAGGAAAAAGAAAGGTACAAATATAGGTTAAGGGAGACCTGGCTTGGCAGTGGGATTTGCGAAAGGGATCTGGCTGTCCTTGTGACCACAAGTTAAACACCACTGTGATGCAGCTGCCAAAAAGGCAAACACAATCTTGGAGTCCAGATCACAGGAAACATTTATTTATTTGAATTATATGTCCATCCCACATATGTGACTCTGGGTCATACATAAAATAAAATACCATAAAGTAGATAAAAGCAAATAAAATACATAATATAAAATAAAAACACATGGCAGCTGAGCTTCATAAAATAACTTCAACAAAACCAAGAGATGGGCTGTATCACACATCCCCAGGGCTGGGCACAAAACCAAGTTTTTAGGGCCTTGCAAAAGGCCAGCAGGGTGGGGGCTATCCTATCTCAGCCGGAATGATGTTCTGCAGGGTGGGCACCATGGCAGAAAAGGCCCCCCTCCTGGGCCCTGCCAGCTGACACTCCTTAGCTGATGGCACTTGGAGCATGGCCCTCCTGCTGGGTGAGGTGGGACAGGTAGAAACATCTGGGGAGAGGCGGCCCTGTAAGTAGTCCGGTCCTAAGCCATGAAGGGCTTTGAAGGTAACTACAGCACCTTGAACTGCACTCGGAAGCATACGAGAAACCAACACAGCTTGTGGAGTGGTGGTGTCACACGCATGCACCGAAAGCCAACACCACGAACTGCCCGGGCTGCCGCATTATGCTCCAGCTGAAGCTTCCAAGTGCTTTCAAGGACAGCCCCGCTTCACAGTAGTCTAATCTGGAGGTCACGAGGGCATGATTGACCGTGAGCGGTGCCCCCCCAGTCCAGAAATGGGCACAACTGATACACAACCCGAAGCTGTGCAAAGCACCTTCTTGCACCAAAGACGGGGGGGGGGTGTCTGCAAGGTACCTCCAATTTTACACGCCTCAAAGCAGGTCCAGGTTGCTACAAACCGTGGCCCGAGGATGCCTCAGATGCCACTTTCTGAGGACGTGCCACCTTTCCCTCATCCCCAGAGCACCCGCATTGGAGTTTTGCTGCTTCCCTCTCCTCCTCAGGCAGGTCTTGCCAGACGGATGAGTGTCGACTGCTAGGCCCTTTCCCTGGGGGAAGAGACGAAGGGCCTCTGCAGGAGTCCTTTTTAAATCAGTGAGGAAGCTACAGGAAGCTTGCTTTACTCCCAGATAAACCCGGGAGCGCATGACTTGGATGGCAAAGAGGGTTTTTTCAATTCAAAGGGGATTACTCCTTAGCAAGCACATATTTGGGTGGCAGAGTTTAAAGACGCTGCTTGCCTGTATTGCCGTCCTGCCTCGGGCACGTTTCCACGGCTGGAGCCTCTCCTCCACAGATTTTAAGGGGCTTTCGGCAGGGGGTGAGCTGAGTCCTCACCCCCCAGAAACACAGCCCGCTATCGGCTGTCCTTTCAGACACAAGGTTGGCCCTGTTCCAGACAGCGCTATTAAATTCCCGTTGCTGTTGCACTATTTTGAGAGTCCTAATAAAAGGATTGTTCTGTTTGGAGGTGTCTCCTGTGATTAGTTTGGGTCGCTACAGGATTTCTTCCTCAGTTGACATGCCCCGCAAGAAGCGTTACCCCAGACAGCCCCAAGGATACAACACAGAAATGATGCAACAAATATATAACACAATAATGATGCAACACAGAATAATGAGTCAAACTTTGGGCGCTCTGTTGAGTTCGTTTTATTTTTCTGCTTGAAGCAAGTCCAGGCATTCAGGTAGAAAGGCAGAACAGCAAAGCAAGGGAAGGGCTGTGTTTATAGATGCCTGTTAAAGATTCCCACGGGCTCATAATTTGCTTAAATCTGGGATGTGGATTAGCCATTTTCTGGAAGAACTGAAAACTTTACAAGTGTTTTTCAGTGATACTTGGAAGATCATTTAGACATTAACAGCACTTCAGAACTGTTTGATCATCAGGATAAAAGGAAGGACCACGGAGAGCCGAGCCCGTTTAAGTTACTTCCATTTTCTTAAGGTGTTTCCTCCCTGCCCCCCCTCCAGGCATAATGGAAATGTT